AGAGGGGGCCTGTCGTGGCCTAGGAGCGATCGCCCCAGAGGCCTGCCCGTGGTCGGGTGCTGGCCGATTCACAGACGATCCAATCAGCCCAGTGCAGTGGCTCGGTGGACCTTGCACGAGGAGGTGGAGGAGGAGGAGGAGGAGGAGGAGGAGCGGGAGGAGGAGACGGCAGAGCAGGGTAGGCATCAGGGGGCAGGGTGGGTGAGGGAAGAGGAAGGGGGGGGAAACAGGGATGGGCGGGATGAGGATGAGGAGACGGCAGCCCTGAGGAAGAGACGGGGGGAGCGCGATCGTGGCAACCGTCCGCGAACACAGCATGTCCGCAGGGCAAGGCAGGATTAGCGCGATGAAAGCAAACGGTGCAACAAAATCAGGATACTACTCGTCCCGGGGACCATCGGGAATCAGAAAATATCGTGGGGCGCCTGCTACCATTAGGCCAGGCATGTCCCCCTAAAGGCGGATTTTGGACCAAAGAAATATCATAACAATACCCCTAAATAGGGCAAACAAATGCCGAAACATTCGTCCGCAGACTATTGTTTTACTATGCTTGCATATTCCTCCTGTAGAGGGACAGGCCCGACTCAGCGCTACCACTCCGAGCTCTTCTGCTGTAAGCTACACGGGCCATCGCCACGGCCAGAGGGGCGGGCTGATACTTCCTACCGCCGCGCTCGACTCCTCGGCCCTGGATTACCAGCCTGGAACGTATCCCTATCCCTAAGATTGACACGCCAAAAGGCGATGACAATCTTAGGGACTCGCCCTCAAAAAATAAGGGAGTCCCTAAGATTGGCATCGTGATGAGGAGGTGCCCAGCATAGGGAAAGGAATATGCTCCAGGCTGGTAATGGAGAACCGGAGTCCAGAATCGAATCGAGCAGTCGGATCGGCAGTGGAACAGACTCGGATCGGCGGGAGTCGGAAGCCAAGGCGGGGGACGTCGAATCCACGGGGACCGGCAGGCCAGCGAGGCCTCAAACTGAGAGGCCGAGGCCCGAAGCGAACTCCGAGTTCGATTCGAATCGGGATCGGAATCGGAATCGGAATCGAGATCGAGTTAGATCGAGATCAGAGGAGGATCACCTTCTCCTCCTCCTTCTCCTCCTCCTCCTCCTCCTCCTCCGCCTCCTCCTCCTCGTTCTTCTCCGCTTCCTCCTCCTCCACCTCCTCCTTCTCCTCCTCCTTCTCCTCCTCCTCCTCCTCCTCCATCAGTCCTCCTTCTCCCTCCTCCTCCTCCTCCTCCTCCTCCTCCTCCTCCTCCTCCTCCTCCTCCCACGGACCACCGCCGCCAAGAACCCATCGACAGGGCGCCGACCTTCGGGCACTGGCACGCCCGAGCGCCACCCAGCACAGGGCGACGCTCAAGCGTGCCACCGCCCAGGGGCCGGTCCTCGTCCCATGGATTCTCGGTGGCGGTGGTCCACGCTTCTCCTCTGAACTCGGACTGGCTCGATTCCGATCGAATCCGATTCCGAGTGGCGGGTGGTCCATGTCGTTAACAGCACCCTGATCAAGGACCTCGACAGGGCCTTCGGTCGTGAATACTTCTCTCAACACCCCGATCGTTCTCCTCGGTGGCGGTCGTCCGTGCTGCTCCGCTGACGAGTCGGAGGAGTGAGAAGAAGATAATGTGGCATACTTTTGGCGTTCCGCGTGGGTTTCTTGGATCTGCGCTGGACCCCCCCCTCCCTGGCGCGAGGAGCGCGCCAGGGGCAGCGCCAGATGGCGCCGCCGGAAGGGGGGGGGGGGGGGGGCAGCGCGGATCCAAGAAATCCGCGCGGAGCTCCAAGAGCTTAATGTTCATGCCTTTGTTCTTCTTCGAAGAGTCCAGATGAGCCCCAGGTCGCGCATGTCCTCCTACAGGCGGACTCTGGGCGAAAAATGGACAATAGTCCAGACATGCTCAACAGCAGCCCAAGTAGAATTTTATAAACATCATCCCCAAACAACTGTTTCACTATTCTTGAGTATTCGTTCTGTAGAAGGTCACGCCCGACTTCAACTGGGGACGCGCAAACACGGATTGGCGATCCATAGATCTGGCGCGCGGTCGCCAAATCCATTTATCGGGGGAAGCGCCCGCCCCAACATGCGGCCAGTGCCGCCTCGTTCGGCGGCGGAAATCGGCGATTTCCCATGGAGGCGGTTCTCCACCCCTCCCCCTCTCCCTCCTCCTCCTCGCTGGCCCTCCATCCTCCGACGCCCTCCTCCATCCTCCTCCTCCCTGTCCTTCTTCTCTTCTTCCTCGGCTCCCCCTCCTCCTCCTCCTCCTCCTCCTCCTCCTCCTCCTCCTCCTCCTCCTCCTCCTCCTCCTCCTCCTCCTCCTCCTCGTCGCGCTCCGTCATCTTGCCTCCTCCCCTTTCCCCCCCCCCCCTCCACTTCGTCCTCCTCCTCCTCCGCCTCCTCTCCCTCCTCCTCCTCCTCGTCCTCTTCCTCCCCCTATCCTCCTCCTCGCCCGGAAAGGCGGGGCAGGGGCACCGCTTCTTGCGACGGCGCTGTGCCCTCCGCGCCGCAGGGGATGCGATTCCTCGGGAGGACGTGCTGGACAGGACCCCCCGGTGGGCAGGAGACCCGGGGCACGGGGAGTATCGGACCCCCTTCTGTGCCAGAGGAGAAATCCCCCTTGATTCCTCCTCCTCCTCCTCCTCCTCCTCCTCCTCCTCCTCCTCCTTCCTCCTTTGTAGGCGGAAATTATTATGATGGGTGCGTGCTCACGTTGAAGCAGAGACCATTCGGGTCAGATGCTTGCGGTTGTTGCTGGTGGTGTTGCTGCTGCTTTGGTTCTTGCTGAACTCGCGTTAATGGAAACAATAAGTGTGGTTGATCCCCCCTCCAGCGCACGTTGTACTTTCCAATCGAAGTGCCCTTCCTGGGGCCCGCACCTTGCATTTAGTAAGGAAGATGTTGGGTTTCAGCTCTGGGCCCCTGGCCCCCGAGTTACGTGAACAACGGCTCCAGCCTGATACTTCCACACAAGTGCTTCCCAAATCGCGCTTTCGCGCGGGACGCACTCACAGTTTATTCAGAGATCGCGCTCTCGCGTGGGACTGCCTCGCAATTTATTCAGACGCCGCGCCCTCGACACCCAGAAAACATACTCTCGCTCACGACGTACTTGGGAATGGCGCTGTCGCTCGAGACTCGCGATTCCTTCAGGACGCACGCTTCAGCAACCCGCCTGCTCGACCTGGCCGCCTGGGCCCGCCTTCCCGACCCGCCTGTTAGGGTTTACCCGCCCGATCTGCCCGTCTGGTTCTGCAACGTGTTTTCTGGTCCTAGCCCCCTTTCCAGCTACCCTCTGACTCTCTCTCTCTCTCTCTGTCTCCCTCTCATGCTCCATCCTCCTCCCTCCCCCATTGTCCCTTTCATCCATCCGTCCTCTCTTCCCCTGCCGTAGGGGCAACGTGAAATACACGTTGATGGTAAAGAAAATATGCCCTCAAAGGGGTGCGGTCGAAGACGAAGAAAGCGGGTATCGAGGGTTTGGTATATACGTGTTGAATGGAACCAATGTTTGGTGCTGGTTGTTATTTATGTTGTTGTTGCTGTGATTGTTGTTGTTGATTGTTGTTGTTTGTTTGTTGTTTGGTGTCGTCCCCCCCCTGCGACCCCACCCACGACCCACCCGCGACCCACCCGCAACCCACCCGCGCCCCACCCCACGACCCACCCGCGACTCACCCTGCGACCCGCCCGCGACCCACCGGCGATCCACCCGCGACCCACCCGCGACCCACCCGCGACGCCACCCACGACCCACCCACGACCCACCTGTGACCCACCCCGCGACCCACCAACATTGCTGTAACGAAAAAATCAGCGCCTGCGGCGGGCTCCGTGTATAATTTGTTAAACTTGACGCCTGCGGCGGGCTTCTTCAGAGCCTCGCAGACTGCCGACGACCCCGCCGCGCCCTCACTCTTGTCCGCAGCTGCGGGATGCTACGTATGTGCATACATACACAGAACTATTGGAAATCCTGGATGTTGTCGATCTGCGCGTGCTCCCGTGGGCTTCTGCACGCACGGTCTTTCAGCGGGCGCGGCCGACAGGCCGCCCCCTTCCGAAGAGGTGGGCAGGGAGCTGGAGGGTGCCCCGCCACGAGCGGACAGCATATCCGCAGCCGCGCCCTCGCGGTCCCGCAGATGCGCGGTCGCACGGATACGGTCCCCGCGGGGCATCCGCCCAAGAACGCCCCGTATCCGCGGGGTCGCGGCCAAGGGGCCCGGCCCGCGAGGCCACGGATACGGATATGTTTGTCGAATGTGACCCTCGGCCTGGGGTTGGTGAGCGGGAGACGTCGAACCTGCGAACCACATGCCGAAGATACGAAATAATCAACATCTCAACCCCATTTATCCGATTGCCCCTGGGCTCCATATGATTCAAATTGCCACGGCAGGCCAGGGGGCGAACTTTAGCAGCACCCCCAAAGTTCGCATCGTAGCTCTGATCTTCATATCGTGCGTGGCATCGTATAAAACGAGACACCCATGTTCGAATATTCACCGAGTTCACGACTATCAGCTCCAGACATCCTAACAGCGATATCTCCAGGGAGCAATGTATGATCCTTCCTGGACCTATGTTACCTCTGCGAGATTGTTCTCGCCGGCGCAAGTCTAAGCAACCCCACGTGATCCCCACCCCCTGCACGTTACACGCCTGGAGAAACAGAAAAAAAAAAAACAGCTGGGGTTCAGAATTAGAAGGAGATCTGCAGCTGGGTGAACCTCAGCGGGGGTGCGTGATACCCCAGCGTTGATTGGACCCCCCGGGACAGGGTCTGCAGGTGGTCGCAGATCTGCAGAGAGGGCCGATCGGCCCCCCCCCCCCACGGGGGGGGGGGGGGAGGGGGGGGGGCGCAACATCGACTTTCTGGTGGGAGCCCCCCCCCCCCCGAGGGTCGATCGGCCCCGGGGGGGTCTCACCACTGAGCACGCGGTGAGGCTGGACCCAGGCCCAACGGCGACCGCGGAGGCTGAGGCAGCCTCCACTGGCCGACTCTGCCCTGCACCGTGGACGCGGAGATCCTGCCGTCCTCGGTGTGCTGGGCGACCGCCGAGCCCCAGAAGAGAAAACGGCACAAACATGCGGTGGAGGCCCGACCACAAGAACTATCCCGCAAGAAACCCAGCCCTGAGACCACAGGGCGTCCATGGATTTTTGGTGTGGGAACGCCACGCCTTCCACAGCAAAACCGTCGAAGTCCAAGAAACCCAAGGCAGCCTGTAGGCAAGCGGGGTGTTTTTGGGTTTTGGGGCATGGGCCCTCAGTGTAAACTTTCGACGGTCCGCGCGGATTTCTTGGATCTGCGCCGGACCCCTCCCTGGCGCGCGGAGCGCGCCAGGGGGGCGGTGCCGGAGGCGCCGCCGGAGGGGGCCCAGCACGGATCCAAGAAGCCCGCGCGAAGCACCAAAAGTTTGTGTTTGTGCCGTTGTTTCTTCTTCGAACCTCGCCGGCCGATCGCGCGATCAGCGCGCGCACCTCCGATCGCGCTGCTCGCCGCCGACCACCCCACGGCGGTCGCGAGCCGGCCACGGAGATCGCGGCCGCGCGGCCAGGCCCCTCCGACGGCGCTTGGCGCGTGTTCTCTCCGCCAGCTTCCTCGGCCTTCCGCGCAGCCGCGCGACGGACAAGCACCAGGGGCGGTGGGCCTGTTTGCCACCAGCACCACCAGAAGTTGGAAGGGGGAGGAAGGAGGAAAGGGAGGAGGAGGAGGAGGAGGAGGAAGAGAAGGAGGAGGAGGAGAAAGAGGAGGAGGAGCAGGAGGAGGAGCAGGAGGAGGAGGAGGAGGAGCAGGAGCAGGAGCAGGAGGAGGAGGAGGAGGAGGAGGAGGAGGAGGAGGAGGACCCCCTCCCTCTCGTACCTGTGGTTGTGGTGGAAAACAGGCCCATGAATGGGCGCGTCGTGCGCGCCGTCGCGAGGGCACTACACGGGCACGGTGTTACGGACAGGCGACCTTTACCCGAATCGGAAATCAATGGCTGAAAAGGCAAGAGGGTGGGATGTAGGAGCGAATAACGAAAAAAACGAGGCAAGAACACTGTAGGAGTACATGGGGATAGCGGAAAAGTAAAAGCACGCTACCGAAGAACCCCGCATACGTATCAGATGTCTGGCGTGATGATAGCCTGCAAACCGACGCGAATCGACGCTAAACCGACGCTCATCGACGCCAATCGACGCCGAATCGGCGCAATCTCATTGACTCCAGGCGCTATCTCATCGATTACCAAGCGCTAGACGACGCTAACGCACTCTAGAGACGGAATTTTCTAGGGCTCAGGATCCCATGACTTGCTGCCGAACTTTATGTCACCGCCCGGTCGCAGGATCGAGTGATCAGCAGGCGCTGGGGGCACGTCGTACGCATTCTGCCGCCCAGGCGTCTGCGCCTGCGACGCCCTGTAGCCCGCCAGGGTCGTCGCGGGGCCCTGGCCCCGGCCCTCCCCCCGGCGCTTGCCGCATGGCTTCCGCCTCTTCCTTGTGTCCGCGTGTGATCCTCCACCTGCCCTTCCTACTCGCCTCCGGCGCCGCCCCTGGCGCGCTCCGCGCGCCAGGGAGGGGGGTCCAGCGCCGATCCGAGAAATCCGCGCGGACCTCCGAGATTTCATGTTTATGTCACTTTTGTTCCCCTGGACGAGCACGAGGGCAAGGACGACGAGACAGGGCGGGAAGCGGGCAGGAGGCGAGGAGAACCGCTCGCACGGGAGCAGGCTGGCTCCCGCCTGCCATCTTCGCGTGCCCAGAAGTGCTCGTCGTCGGCCACCGCGTGGCCGGGAGGCAGGGGTTCCCCGGTGGTGCCGGCAGGGAGCGAGGGGGGGAAGCGAGAAGGAGAAGACTTAGGTCGGGCCTGTCCCCCTACAGGGGGATTTTGGACGAAAAATCAAAAAATGCTCAAAAGATACCCAACCAAAAATACTCAAAAAGTAGTCCCCATACTATTGTTTGACTATTTTTGAATCTTCCCCCTGTAGAGGGACGTCCACGACTTAAGAGAAGACCTTCTCAGAAGGCTCGGAAGCCCCCGGCCTTCTGAAAAGCGTTCTGAGCCTTCCCCGAAGACACAGAAAACCTCCCACAAGTTTTCTGAGCCTCCCCCGAAGACACAGAAAGCCTCCCACAAAGCCGGAGGGCTTGAGAGGAGTCGCGCCGCCTTCTGAGAATGCCTTCTGCTTCTCATTTCCCCCCCTCGCTCGCCGCCGGTGTTGGCTTCTGGGGAGCCTCTGGGACGTCAGCCTGGCGCCACACCGCGTAAGGCATAGCACATCCGGCTCAATCGTGAGGGCCCCAGAGCCTTCATTCTCCGCAGCCCAGGCTCATCCCCCTCGCTCCTCGCTCTCTTCCCTGCCCCCTCCTCCCTGCTCTCCCATCCCCACTTGTTCCCGTCCCCCCCATGCGAATCGGCGCGTTACGCAGAGGGCACCTGCACACCGCCGCCATGCCCAGTTAGGGCAGTTCTGGGCCCCAGAGTGGTGGATACGCCCTCCTTGCCGAGGCTAAGCTAGATCCACGCACGATCCTGGGGCGCAGCCTGGGCCAGGCATGGTGATGGTGATGCATAGATGCCTCCTGCGGATGTGATCGATCTGCAGGGGTCTCGGGACAAAGATCGGCAGCCGGGCAAGGGCTGCTAAATCCGTGGCTGCCAAAATCGACCTCCGGGAAGTCGTCTTCGTCTTTCCGGGAAGAAGCCCGTTGACTGTTTCGCGTGCCGCGCCTCATCCCGGGAAGAGTCGCTTTTTCCTTCCGGAAGAGGACCGTTTTGGCAGCCACGGTCTTGGCAGCCCTCGCCCAGCTTCCGAAAAGAGACGGGGCGGAACCAACCGCCGCGCTCCTTGCAACGATTTGGACTGGACGCCCGAAATGGGTACGGAAAAATGGGTACAATGCCCGATAACAAATGTTGTCCCAAACCAGCAGCGGCCGCTGTTGGGCAGGCGGCCTTCTGTCTCGAGTGGACACAGGCCGCGGCGGCGTGGACAGCGAGTCCTGTTCAAAATGAACCGGATCCGCTGTTGGGCATCGTACCCACTCTTTCCGTGCCCATTTCGTTCGTGCAGAGATTGCAAAAAAACCGAAGGATTGCAAAAAAACCGAAGGATTGCAAAAAAGAAGGACTGCAATCCTTCGGTTTTTTTGCAATCCTTCGGTTTTTTTGCAATCCTTCGGTTTTTTTGCAATCCTTCGGTCTGAAGGTGGCCGACGCTGCCCCTGGCCAACACGAGCTGGCCGCGCTCGCGCGCGCAGGGGAGGCCGCGTTGGCGCGCGCGAGCGGGCGGGAGCTCGCCGCGTCCGGGTGTGCAGATGCGCGCGGGCGGCGGCGGCGGCGCCCCGCGCGCATCTGCACACGGAGGAGGAGGAGGAGGAGGAGGAGGAGGAGGAGGAGGAGGAGGAGGAGGAGGAGGAGGAGGCGGAGGAGGAGGAGGAGGAGGAGGAGGCGCGGGGGGGGGGCCCTGCGGAGGAGACCAATAAGGGGCTGCAGGGCTCTTCCCGGCCCTTGCCCGGCGGCCGCGCCCCGGCGGCCGGCCGACCTGGTTTTTCCCGCCCGGCGCCTGCTCAGGAGGGGCCCTGGGGCACACGAGTGCATACTCCAGGATCCCAGGATCCCCAATCTGCCATGCGTGCTTTCTGGGTCCTCGTCGTCCCCCCCCCACTTCCCATATCTTCCCAGAGTCTCCAGGGGGTCGACGATGAATTGTGTCTGGGTGTTTCTCCCCTCCTGAGACTGGAAAAAGCATGCAATGGCATAACAGAAAACCACGGACCTCCGAGTTTTTGCTCATGTTATCGTTTGTTCCCCGGCGCGCTCTCATCCTGAACTGCTTTCTGCCGTGAGTCGGGAGCGGCCAAGAGGGGGGTGTCCAAGAGGGGGGGGTGCAAATCATGGCCGGACGGCATGTGCGCGGCCCGGGGGGGGGGCGGGGACGTAATGAAACAAAAAGAGGCGCCATGAGATCTGAGGAAATGTCATGGCCCACGCCATGATGTCCACCCCCCCCTAGTCGTCGCCCCCCTCTCTGCCGCCCCCGAGGCCCCCCTCCCTGCGCACCGCCCCCTGCACCCGGGCAGCTCCCTCGCCGAACGCCCCCGACAGCGCCTCGAGCGCCCGTGCGGAGAGTCCCTCTGCCGCGCCGCGGCCGGAGAACAGTGGTCCCCCGATGCTCCCAGACGTCCAACGGCCCGATCTGTTCGAGACGTGGGCCCGAGAATGCCTCGCGCGCGCGGACCTCCGAGCTTTTTCCCAACCATCCTGTGGTGTTGGGTCCTCGTTTTGAAGAGACAGCGCCCCGCATTCCCACCTCCCGCTGCCCCCTCCCCCCTCCCTCTCCTCCCTCCTCCTCCCTCTCCTCCCTCCTCCTTGCGTTTCACCCACCCATTACAGCGCTTCGTGGCTCCATAGGGAGCTCCGCCGAAGGCCCCAGTGGCAGGGCCCGCATGCAGTTCCACCTCCATTTCGGCGCACCTCTCACACGTTTCGTGGCCCCATAGGGTGCTCCACCCAAGGCCCCAGTGGCAGGGTCCGCATGCAGTTCCACCCCCATGTCGGCGCACCCCTCACACGTTTCGTGGTCCCATAGGGTGCTCCACCCAAGACCCCAGTGGCAGGGTCCACATGCAGTTCCACCCCCATTTCGGCGCACCCCTCACACGTTTCGTGGCCCCATAGGGTGCTTCACCCAAGGCCCCAGTGGCAGGGTCCACATGCAGTTCCACATCCATTTCGGCGCACCCCTCACACACTTTGTGGCCCCATAGGGTGCTCCGCCGAAGGCCCCAGTGGCAGGGTCCGCATGCAGTTCCACCCCCATTTCGGCGCACCCCTCACACGTTTCGTGGCCCGATAGGGTGCTCCGCCGAAGGCCCCAGTGGCAGGGTCCGCATGCAGTTCCACCCCATTTCGGCGCACCCCTGACACGTTTCGTGGCCCTATAGGGTGCTCCGCCCAAGGCCCCAGAGGCAGGGCCCGCATGCAGTTCCACTTCCATTTCGGCACACCCCTCACACGTTTCGTGGCTCCATAGGGTGCTCCGCCGAAGGCCCCAGTGGCAGGGTCCTCATGCAGTTCCACCCCCATTTCGGCGCACCCCTCACACACTTCGTGGCCCCATAGGGTGCTCCGTCCAAGGCCCTCGTGACAGGGTCCGCATGCAGTTCCACCCCCATCTCGGCGCACCCCTCACACGTTTCGTGGCCCCATAGGGTGCTCCACCCAAGGCCCAAGAGGCAGGGTCCGCATGCAGTTTCACCCCCATCTCGGCGCACCCCTCACACGTTTCGTGGCCCCATGTTGTGTTCCGCCGATGACCCCAGTGGCGGGGCCCGCATGCAGTTCCATCCCCATTTCGGCGCACCCCTCACACGTTTCGGGCCCCATAGGGTGCTCCGCCGAAGGCCCCAGTGGCAGGGTCCGCATGCAGTTCCACCTCCATTTCGGCGCACCTCTCACACGTTTCGTGGCCCCATATGGTGCTCCGCGGAAGGCCCCAGTGGCAGGGTCCGCATGCAGTTTCATCCCCATTTCGGCGCACCCCTCACACGTTTCGTGGCCCCATACGGTGCTCCGCCGTAGGCTCCAGTGGCAGGGTCCACGTGCAGGTCCACCTCCATTTCGGCGCACCCCTCACACGTTTCGTTACCCCATCGGGGGCTCCATTCAATGCCACCGTGGCAAGTCCGCATGCAGCTCCACCTCCATGTCGGCGCACCCCTCACACGTTTCGTGGCCCCATGGAGTGTTCCACTTAGGGCCCCAGTGGCAGGTTCCGCATGCAGTTCCCCCTCCATTTCGGCGCACCCCTTCCACGTTTCGCGGCCACCAAAGGCCCTGGTGGCAGCGCCCGCACGTGGTTCCACCCTGCATTTCGGCGCACCCCTCACGCGTTTCGTGGCCTCAGATGGGGCTGCACCGACGGCTCCTGTGGCAGCGTTCGCATGGCGTACCCGTGCCTATGTTGGCACACCCGTCACGCGCGTCGTGGTCTCAGAGAAGGTTCACCGAGGACGATACCCACACCTGCATTACACACAGCTGCACATGGTTGGGCCCTTCGCCGAGATAATTTTTATGTTTGCGTCACTGCTTGTTCCCCGATACCCCTAAGCACCGAGCGCCAACCCGAGACCTCCGCGCGGCCCTCCGGGCTGTGACGCTTACGTCATGGGTTGCTCCCCGATGCCCCCTGACGTCGAGCGCGGGTCCGAAAAATCCGCGCGGGCCTCCCAGTCATGATTACGTCATTGTTTGGTTCCCGAAAACCCCCAAACATCGAGCGCGGGTCCGAAACATCCGCGCGGGCCTCCAAGTTATGTTTACGTCATTGATTATTCCTCGCTGCTCCCAGACATCGAGCGCGGGTCCGAGAAATCCTCGCGGCCCCCAAAGTTCGTATGATTATGGCAGCATCCTCCAAGTCCCCCCCTCCTCCCTCCTCCCTCCTCCTCCCCCCAACACCTCCATCCTCCCT